TCATGGGTGTAATTACAGTTAATCTCTCAAATTGGGTGGATTAGCAATCTAAGTAGAGGATCTTGTTTTTAAGTAGGAGCGTCATTCACTTAATGTGCTGTTACTTGTTGAGATTAAGGCCCATGCTGAGCGCTAAAGCTCTCAAATGCTCGGCCTGAATTGTGAAGAAACCTCACTGTAAACATGAGGAGGGAGAGGGATTAAATACCAGGGGAAGTTAACCGCCAAAGAAACACACATGGTTATGCCTCTGGAGCAACAATCTGCTCTCAATTTATATTAAATAATAATAATAATAATAATAATAATAATAATAATAATAATAATAATAATAACTTTATCTAACCACGGTAAGCAATTGATCACCTCAATGGTGTTTTCATCAATGCCGTAACAGACATAATAATCAAACTTAACTAACGGTAAACAAAGAATCAAATTAATTACAGAAAATAAAAGAAAACAAAAACCAAATCAGGAAACAAAAATTACAACATCAAAATACAAAATTATCGTAATACATAAAAGTGTGCTAATCTAAGGAAATACATGAGTTGCTTATTGTAGACTACTGAATATAGCCTTTCAAAAAACAAAATATAGTTTAACTGTCAAATTAAAATTTAGCATAAAATATTTTAATTGTCTTTTAATATTTAAAGTTAGAAATAGTAATTGAAGTTTTGAGGTCATCACTTAGTTCATTTCATAATTTGGCACCTCTGTAGGAGAGACTGTTTTTTATAATCTGTTCTAGGGTTAAAAGTATTAGTGGGTTTTTATATCAGGTGTTTTAAGAACTTTCTTTAATACTGAATCTACAATTTAGGTAAGCTGGTGCCAAATTATCGGTAATTTTAAACATAGTGATGGCTTCACTTGAAACAAGTGCTTTTCAATGTGCTTTTCAATAATGCTTGATAAATTAATATTGGAATATCAACTATACTGTACCCTATTTAAACAGAGATGTAATTTTTTACATAAAATTTTTTTAGTCACATAGAAGATACAATTGTTTCCTAATAACTGTTGTCAGGTTGTTCATACCATATTATATTTTGATGTACATTTACTGAGACAAAACATATTCGATTTCATCAGCATGTCTCATCTCAGATTCAAGGAACCTGAATATCTTAATAATTTTATTATTATCTTACCATATTTACCTTATCAGATTTGAAAATAATGGCTAGTGTTGTATACTTAAGCAAGACTTATTTTATTCCTTGTTTTGCATACTTATTTTTTTAAAGGTCATCGTAGGAAGGCGGAATAAAAATTTGTTTTCTTATTTAGCAAATAGATTTGCCAAAAACATCTAGGCGGAGAAGAAAATAAAAAGAAATTTTTATTGGTGAATGTAAAATAGGATGGTTAAATGCTTTAAATTTATATACTGTAATTAGGAAGAAATAAACATATCGCATCTTTCGGAGATTTCAAGGCAGTGGAGGGCATAATAAAAATAAAGGAAAACATTTATATTTTTCTGAAATTTCATTTTTTTTAATTGCGGCGGGTACGCTAATTGGCCAAGAATAAAATTTTATTTTTATTCAAAATCATCAATATTTGCAGTCGGCGAGGTTCTCTACAAGGTATAAAAAAAGGTCTCGCCTTATATACACTAAATTTGAAAACTTAGTAAACCAGTCCAGTCAATTGGTGATGAAAATATGCTTAGAACCAAACACAAATTACAAGAGATCTTTGCAATACCTGTTTCAAACAAATACACATAACTATGTAATCCAATTACGTAAAACTAACTTATTTTGAGATGATACTTAACAAATTAACACCTACCTATATAATAACGCTAATACATGTCTCAACGCGTATGATCTGTCTTGCGAAACAAAAACAACTAGAGCTTAGCTATGATAGGCTGAGGGCTCAAATAGTTGTAGCTGAACTAATCTAAAACTACTGTAGTCCATTCCACTAGGAGATTGTAAACACCCACGGATATGAATTTATGCAAATCCTCAGGAAGGGATTGGTGAGTTATCATATTGTATAACCACTGAATGCCCTTTAAGTCAAGCAATGTTATCAGGTTTTTATCTGTCAGACACTGCACAAAATGTATGACCAGACTTCTTCCAGTGTATGCTTGGTTCAAACATATGAAATATGAATTTATGCCATTCCTCAGGAAGTGACTGGTGAGTTATCACACAGTGTAGAACTACTAAATGCCCTTGAAGTTAAGCTACGTTATCAGGTTTTTATCTGTCAGACACTACAGAAAATGTATAATCAGACTTCTTCCTGTGTACCCTTGGTACAAACATTTGATTATGCTTTTGCACTGTTACCTACT